ACATGTTAGAATAAGAAAAAGTTACTAGTAATGGCAGGGAAACTACTATTAGGTACCGGATATCTTAGTGTCGTTTTTTCACCGCGAGTTTCGGACCACCAATATTTTAATTCAAAATCCGGTGAGTGAAACGGCATATTCATCGAATGACTCATTAGCCCTTTCCCATTTACCAGTATGAGTGGAAACCTCGTACGATTAAAGCTAGGAATTTTTTGAGTCGAAAAAGAGAGGCATGTCGGTTTTGACATCATCTAACCGTCTCACTTGCTAAAAGCAGTTTAAGTTTGTTACTTAAGTTAGCAAGCAGTTAAGCATGTAGAAAAGATATACAGTTAGTTCGAGTAGGGCCAGCACTGGTATGATGGTAAAGTTAGAACTCACCAGCTCAACTAGACAATTTTTTCCCAGGGTGTTTTTTGCCACATAGGGTCAAAAACGCCCTTTTTGTGCACAGCGTGAGTAGCAGATGAGCACATTTATTAGAATTTCTTGTGCAATCAACTTCGTTAAAGCGTTTGTGCATCATCGATCAGTCACTGCTAAGGTGTCCTACCATTTCAGCACAAGACTGGTGCAGCCCCGTCTCGACTGATTTAACTAGGGCCACCTTTTTGACGACGATTGCGGGCATCACTTCAAAGACTTCACTGTCTTTTGAGAAAACTGTGAAAAACCGATGAGCATTTTAAATGGTAGTATTCCCTCCAACAAATGCAATGTTGGTTTGGTGGGCGGAAGTTGTAGCTCTCAGCAAGAATTTTGAAGCATTTGGTACACACATGCGAATTTGCACACTGGACCCAGGGATTTTCAAAAAAAGTATAAAAAAGAAGGTTATATTTTTCTTCAAAAGCGGCCTCATGAGATGGGATACAAAATTCAAAAAGTTTTCTTTCTAAAAAGTTTTGAAATGTTGCAAATGTTCTTATTTGAAAAATCGTCCCGTTGTTCCGTTTTTTGTGCACACGCGAGTTTTCGACATTCAAACATTCATAACTTTCTTCATAATCAACTTTTTGCAAATGTCTAAGGCTAATTAGAAACTAGAAGATTAGAGCTTTAGAACAAGCATCTGAAAATTTTCCAGCGATCATTTTTTCGAAAAATAGTCCCGTTGTTCCGTTTTCTGTGCACACGCGAGTTTTCGACATTCAAACATTCATAACTTTCTTCATAATCAACTTTTTGCAAATGTCTAAAGGCTAATTAGAAACTAGAAGATTAGCGCTTTCAACAAGCACCTGAAAATTTTCCAGCGATCATTTCTCTCAAAAAATAGTCCCGTTGTTCCGTTTTTGGGGGTTTGTGGTCCGATTTTTGAGAAGGCGCGAGTTTTCGACATTCAAACGTTCATAACTTTCTTCATAATCAACTTTTTGCAGATGTCTAAGGCTAATTAGAAACTAGAAGATTAGAGCTTTCGAATAAGTGCTGAAACTTTTTCAAAAATCACTCGCTCAAAAAATAGTCCCGTTGTTCCGTTTTTTCCACCTTGATTTTTTCAAGCCATTTTCCTGAACGCGACTTTGCAATCTTCAAACGTCCATAATTTCCTTCAAAATTCATATAATGAGAAGCGGTAAAAGTGTTGAAGTCTACATGAAGAGTGCTTTACAACGTATGCAAAATTTTCCCTGAAAAGCTTTCTTCTGCCAGAATTTCTGAGGAGGTCCCTAGAAGTCAATTAAGCAAGTTCTAACTTTCTTCCACTTAGATTTGTTCTGAAGACATCAAGATTTTTTGAGGAAGTTTGTCTGCTTACGGCCGCTGACAGACGTTTTGAAGTGAAAACTCCTGCTCGGGGTACGCCGTGCACCTGTCTGTGGCAGCAGTCGCACTAGCATTTGAAAGTCCTCCACTTCCCTGGAGACGGTGATAGTATCGCGATTGTAGTTGCGTTGTACTGTTACATGGAATCCTATTTTCTCATGCATTTCACCGCGGGTCCCTGTGTATACGACCCCCCCCCTTCGTTCGGCCAAATACGTCTCGTTGTTCATTGCGCAATGGGCGGTTGACCCTGGCTGCAAGGCGTATATGAGCTTTTCTTCAGCATTTTATCATATCGTTGATAGCGCGTCTCCACCGGCCAAAAGCCGCCAATAGTCTCATTGATGTAGGTTATTTTGAGTAGTCCCCACCCTCTCCACTGCTCATCTGTACCCATTCATGAACTCCAGGACTATTATGATTACCGACTTTGAATCATGGAATACCTGCAGCAGAAACACAGAAACGCTTCAGCAAGTGAGTCCTAGGCAGGAACCGACTGCTCCGAAACATCTTCCTTTTCATTTTCCTTCACTGCACCAACTACCGTCACAATTTGACTCCTTTTCCGTCCTAACACTAACCACCTTTCGATATTTTTCGATCTCTAATTCGTTTACATCTGTTGCCGAATTTCGCCAAGTTTCCGTTCTCTAGGTGTCCTTGAAGCCCAGCTGACTTTTTGCAATAAGTAACCTCCATATAGAGAGTGCCTTCGCCTGCCGCGGTTAGTGCTCTTTATCTTATCTGCCGATCCGCGCCTCATCTTGCATTTTTGCCAGTGCCGCCGCACAGGAAAAATACAAATTTCTCTCTTTGGCTCTAATTTGGTGTATGCGGCCAGCCGTGGTGAGTTCGGCTTGACGCATCTTCACCCCTCTGGAACAAGTCCGCCCCTCTTCGTGCAGTGCTTTATATGTGACAAGCAGGTAATTGAACGGACGAGAAATCGCCGCGTTTTTAGAGCGGCATATCGCTGTAAATAGCAGGATCCTTAATTGTATCGCTCAATCATTTAATCGAGTTTCATCCAAGCAAATTCAAGCCAACTGACCAGATCTTTCAAAAATATTTCGACTATATCACGTGTTGAATTTGTGCCGAAATACTTGTAACATTCGGCAGGGTCCCAGTCGACGTTGTGTATCTTTCTGTATGCCTTCCTTAGCTGATCCGACGAAGCGGTGCCTCCGCAAGCCCGAAGGGCTTTTAAAAAGCGTTCCACACCAACAGCCTGTAAATAGGATGACGTTTTCCTTTTATCACAATTACCAAGCGATACTGAAAAAAGCTTCAAACACAAAGCCCTACAAAAGTGAAATCAAAAGTAATTGCCGGATTCTGCCGCCGTCCAATTTTAACACTTATAGAAGTTTAAGAGTGTGCTGTCTCTTTTAGTTGCAGTGAAGAGCCATTTATACATTGCAAATTTAGTGTACGCTTTTCGAATAAACCCTAGACCATAAACAGCCACTCAGATTACGAAGCGCTGGGAAATGAAAAAAAAAATAATAGAGACACTTTTCCGTGTTGAGCAGAACCAGGATAAAAATCAAAGTTTAGAACCCCTCCCCAATTTTTGATTCAAAGCGGAGGAACGAAATGGCCTCGAAGCACACATATGTTAAATCGCCTGGGAAAAAGGTGATGTAAACTTTATTGCCGAAAATTGGAAATCTAGGTTGGAAAATACGACTAATTCAACAAATAGCAAGATGTGGATTTGTCCAAGTACGTACAAAAACACTTTAAGGATTATGTTACTCACTGCTCTTCAGAGCTCATGCTCTTTTTTCAAGCGTATTTCTTACCTTGATACATTCCGGTTAAATAATAATGCAGTTATTCAAACCATGGAAAATACTGGACCAAAACACAAACTCACTGGAGAGCGGACTGATCGACTGTCATCGCAGGACTTTTCACAGTTCCCCTGAAAAGAAAAAGTGGACTTTTGGTGGATTTCTATAAAGATCTCACAACAATTATCGTAGGCTGACGGCGGCGTTTGAAATGGGATGTGTACCATCTTACGCTTTTACTCCCGCTGTGTAGATGAGGCAGCCAAACTTCCCACACGCGCTGTCAAAAATCAGTCCACATTACCATGCTTGCCCTATATTTGGTGCTGCGAGCAGGAACTCATCAGCAAAACGAAGGTGGTGTAGTTGCCGGCCGTCGACCTTCACTCCCATGTCTTCCCATTCCAGTTGACGCATGACGTTCTCGAGAGCGGCGCTGAAGAGTTTGGGCGAGATGGTGTCGCCCTGTCGGACCCCTCTCTTGACGTCGATGATGACCTCCTTGTAGAATGGTGAGATCCTGGTCGTGAATTGCTGTGGAAGACGGAGATTCTTGTGTACTTAGCAGCAACATCTGGTTGACCAGTGCTTCAATTACCGCTTTTTCATCATGGAGTCAAAGATTTTCGTGAGGTTGATGAATGTAAGACATAATGACGTCTTGTTCTTCGCGACACTTCAGTGAGACCCGCAACCGTAAGAATATTAGGTACCGGATATCTTAGTGTCGTTTTTTCACCGCGAGTTTCGGACCACCAATATTTTAATTCAGAATCCGGGGAGTGAAACAGCATATTCATCGAATGAGCCCTTTCCCATTTACCAGTATGAGTGGAAACCTCGTACGATTAAAGCTAGGAATTTTTTGAGTCGAAAAAGAGAGGTAGGTCGGTTTTGACATCATCTGACCGTCTCACTTGCTAAAAGCAGTTAAGTTTGTTACTTAAGTTAGCAGTTAAGCATGTACAAAAGAATATACAGTTAGTTAGAGTAGGGTCTGCACTGTATGGTGGAAAAGTTAAACTTACCAGCTCAACTGGACAATTTTTCCCGGAGTCTTTTTTGCCACATAGGGTCAAAAACGCACCCTTGAGCACACGTGAGTAGCAGATGAGCACATTTATTAGAATTTCTTGTGCAATCAACTTCGTTAAAGCGTTTGTGCATCATCGATCAGTCACTGCTAAGGTGTCCTACCATTTCAGCACAAGACTGGTGCAGCCCCGTCTCGACTGATTTAACTAGGGCCACCTTTTTGACGACGATTGCGGGCATCACTTCAAAGACTTCACTGTCTTTTGAGAAAACTGTGAAAAACCGATGAGCATTTAAATGGTAGTTTCACAAGAATGCTGGGTTGTGAACAAAACAAAGCGAGAGGTGCGGGTTCTAGTCCCGCCTGGGGCGAAAGTTTTGTTCACAACCCAGCATTCTTGTGAAACATTCGCAAGGCGAACTGCGGCCAAAAACAGCAGTTAACAAACAAAACAAGTCAAAATATTTCAACTTGCAATTTGTTTGTTGCGAAATTACTCTCAGCAAGAATTTTGAAGCATTCGCTACACACATGCGAATATGCACACTTGACCCAGGGATTTTTAAAAGAAGTGTAAAAATTAGGAAAAAGTCAAATTGTGAACCAACAACCTAATAAATAATTAAAGCAACATCATTTTCCCAACGCTACTAATACCCAAAAGGACCTCTGAAAGATATTGATTTACATATCATAATCGCCCCAAAATTTCCCTCAGAACTCCCGAAAAGGCGACACAAGAATCCCGGTACCTAACATAGTCTTGAGACGAATCTTATTCGAAATCTTGCTTGCCCTCATGGATGTCTACCCCGGAGTTGTCAAGACCCTGTTTTCAGAGGCTACTCCGGACTGCCCTCCATGCACTAGGCTGTCAATTGAATGCGAGTCTTTGACTATGGCGACATGCACGATACCTCCTGCACAACCCACCACACCACAAGAAACCAATGTATTGATAGCGGCCAGTGGGAGCACTAGTAAACTAAACTCAGCACTTCAGGAAAAGGGACTTCCTCCCTGAATTCCCTGCACCTCAGACCAATTCGGCCCTTTTGATCCACGGTTTACCGCTTTTCGTCACAATGTCGCCCATGCTTCGCCACCTTAAGCGACGTAGATTCTCGGGGAGAAACACAGCTCTCCACTTAACAGGATACTTATAGTTCACTAAATGGCGCAAGTCGTTGACTCGCATGCTCATCACAATTACCTAACTATTCCCATGGCTTATATGCGACTAGCCGCCTAGAAGAGGCGTTCAGTTTCTCCTTCTACCGGAGTCTTCAGGCTCACAAGCTTTTTGAAAACTTTTGCATGATATAGAGGCAGATGCGGGGACCACAGAACCATGTTTAATTTTTCCTGAACGGTCCTCTGAATACCAGAAAAGGGGGTCCCTAGTTCGATTCCTCTTGGTGACAAATTTTTGCATTTCGAGTTGACGTTCCAAAATTCGCGCAAAATGGAGTTAGCATGAATAATTAGTACCATATTCATGATTAGGGGCCGTCAGTAACTCCTACATAAAGACTTTGACTTAAAAAATTGGTGTGAGAGGTGTGACATCAAGCAGCCCCACTGTGGTGTCACACCTTTTTCACCAGTTTTTCAATCAAAGTCTAATTGTAACGTTACTGACGGTCCTAATCATGAATATGGTACTAATTATTCATGCTAACTCCATTTTGCGCGAATTACTCGAAATGCAAAAATTTGTTACCACGAATCGAACTAGGGACCTCCTTTTCTGGTATTCAGAGGGCCGTTCAGGAAAAATTGAACATGGTTCTGTGGTTCCCGCATCTGCCCCTATATCATGCAAAAGACCGTTTTCAAAAAGCTTGTCACGCCCTGAAAGACCTTCCTGGTTAGCTCAGGTCACCAGAGCTGCGCGATCGAAGCCTAAAAGTAGGCTCAGGCCTAAGTTTAGCCTTGCTACAAGCAAATCAGAAGTGTCCTAGTTTGAGGTGACCTAACCTGACCTAAACTGATATACACTCCCCGGCTAGACTGCTCACATATTGCCGCCGCTGACTATTCCGTAGGGACTTCATAGAAATGCATGTTCAGAAAACTGTTCTGTAGTTTTTTAAAAAGTACTTCGAGATTAGAAGCAACAGCACATCCGTAATTTCCCATTGCACTTGGTCACGATCACATCCTGATCGCCTGTTGGTGCCTCCCACGATGGCTTAGAACCTCCTCCATGAGAGCTGTTCAAATGTATTTTTACTTCGGAAAATTCCTACTCATTACAGAAAAACACTTATATTGCAGCTCCTCGTCTTCGATGATACTCCACGTAAGAAGTAATCATAGAATCACTCATTTGAACGTCAGCTCCAAAAAGAAATCTCATTCAACGGCATTCATTTTTGGAGCTGACGTCATTCGGCAGCACCATTTTCTTTTCTCACTGCAGTGGGAACTCGTACGTAAATCTCACGAATCTGACACCGAACGTGATCAAGTTCCGAAGTAGCCTATACGAGTAAGTTTTGATGAATCGGTGCTAGAATGATGCCATCCCTCAACAAGTACTTATTTCAGCGAATTAAGTTTCCTAACAGTGCGACAGGCTCCAGAAAGTCCGGGTAACTTTGAAAAAAAAAACATAGGAGCACGATAGCCGAGCAATAGAAACCCTGAAGTGCAGATATGAAACCTATTCCCTATCTTTCATACTCTTTAACCTATTGAATGATTGCTCGCCTCTCACTGATAAACCCTTTGAAAAATATCTACTTTGGTCATTAGTAAACAGGATCGGATCCATTAAAACGCGTTTGTAACTCGCATCCAAGGACGTATGAGGAAGTACAAATCTCATTCAATAATAAGGTAGCCACTTCTGCCTTCTCGCTAGGATCCTTCAAAGTAGTAAGCATACTTGTTTGTTCACGACGGCGCGAGAAGTAGACGGCAAGCCAAAAGATGACGAAACAGCACAGCGCGAATTCAGAACAGCCTGAAAAGATCCTTTTGGATAAGAACATATCACGACGAATCTATTCAATTCACCAGAACGGAATTCACAAAAGGGAAAAACGACAAATATCATCCTGTTTGACTCCAAGTCGTTCCAGTGATTCGAATGGAAGGCATTGAAATAATCAAGCGTTAGTACTAGCAAGAGGATTTACGAAAGAAAATGCCGTTCAAAAAAATAGGGCGTCCTCGACAAGACAACCCGTTCGCAATTATGCCCTCTTCGGAACAGCTGAGTGGTCTAACCGTAGGTATTGACCACTATCTAGTAATACCCACCTGGATGATAAGTAGAAGGAGG